ACAAACAGTAATATTGTTGCTTCAGAAAAAAAGAATAATCCACACAATGAAAATAATTTTCAGGATTTAATGAGTGAAAAAGAAAATATGAATAAAACATTTAAGAATTATATGGATATTCAACCATATACCTCCAAAAATGATAAATCAGTTAGAAAAAATGGATATATATTAAGCAACACTAATTCTTCAATACGCAGTACAGAAAATAACAATGAAAAGATAACGCCATTAAAGGAAAAGAGAAGCAATACAAGAAAAAAACAATTAAAGAATGTTATTGAAGTATCAGCACATTTGAATGACATTTATAAAGATACATATGAATTAAAGAAAAATTATTATGAAAAAAAATTAGAATATTTAAAAAGATTTGTAGAAGTAAGCGAAAAAATAAGCAAGACATTAAAAAAATGGAATTTTTAATGTCTAATTTACATATACAGAATGTTCCAAAACCAATTTATGAATATTTTTATTTTTTATATATTTTTATTTTTCATGTCTTACACTTTCTGTTGAACGTTCCATTAAAAGCACTAAAGTGAATGTAATAAGACTGATAACTAGTCAACTAGATGATTAGTTTAAGCATACGATAAAATTAATAAGATAATTATTTATGTTTGGAAAACATGTGTGCATTACTCTAGAATAGAAAATACCAATATTATACTTATCTGCAATTTTGTTTTAATAGTTATGATTTAAGTTTGATGTATTGTTTTATTATCTTCTTTTGTACTATGCTATGATACGAAGTTTGAAAATTTATTTTATGTCAATATAAATTTTATTTCTAATTACAAAGACAAATAAATATTTGTAGATGAAACAATAGTTTATTTATACCATAATACTTAATTATAAATATTAAATTTTATTACTAAGTAATTTAAGCATTAGAAATATACTAAAATATAAATATATAAAATATACATTAAACGTAATATATGGTTTCAGTTTTATAACGACTCAGGAAAAATAATTTTTCATAATTTGTCGCCGTTTCATTCTTCCAGCAGTTAAATCTGGATCGATTCTTCGAATGTTTCTTTCAGGTCCGTTATTTCTTTCATTTTCAATAAAATTTTTATTATTATATATTCCAAAGTCCAGTTCGTCAAAATCATCATTAACCTCCAATGGCATTTGTACATTTTCACTGATACATATATTGTGGAATATAACACAGGTATGTATAATTTTTTATGCTATTGGTGGAGCATAATGTAGCACTTTATGTTTCAATAAACATCTAAAACGCATTTTTAATACACCATTGCACTGTTCTATTAATGCGCGACATTTTATTTGCTTTTTATTATAGGCTTCTTCCGGACTATTTTGCGCTGCATCCGTTACAGGAGTCATTATCCAAGGCCGTAAGGGATATCCTGAGTCACCTGCAAACAAAAAATTGAAATGCAACAATTTAATGTATACGTATAAAAATTTTTAAACGAACGATGATTTACCTGTTAAATAGGCATATTGAATGTGTAATAAAACTAATAAGAGACATGTTCAAATCTTTAATCTACTGATTATATAATATAATAATTTTTTTGTTTTGTACCTTTTTTGTTTTTATTAAGCATATGACAAAAAATTTTTTTCTTTATTATATACTACCCATTCAGATTTCTATCTAGCAGACACAATGTTACATGTAATGTACATGTTGTAATTTCCTACTCAACAATATAACTGTATATAACATACGTGTTACATAATAGTTACATTGTTAAGTAGGAAATTACAACCAATATATACGTTATATGTAACATTGTGTTTGCTAAGTGTGGGGTTGTAGGTCAGGATTAGGTTAAGGTGCGTCGTTCCCACAAATAACGAAATGTTCAATTGGATAAAGTCTCGCTGTGTTTATTCATGCTCTATGTACAAAATAATTATATCCTCTATGTGAATGTGTAGATGGTCGTGTGTGTTGGTGTAGGTTATCTTTGTGTAGTGTAATATACGCATTACGAATCTTTGAATAACTGTTTTATGATTGATTTCTGCTTGATAATATTCTCTCGCGGGACCACCAGGTTCCGTCCAGGAGTCCTAGGCCTGCCTATTGGAGTTGATGGAATAGGACTCAGTCGGGTCTTAAGGAATCGTGGTCGTATAGGCGTCTTGAAGAGGTGGTCGGTCTGAGTCGCTACAGAGTTCACTGGATCGATTGGACGAAGAGGGCGTCGGACACGTGGAGCTCTTGGTGGTAAATCGATGGGATAGAGCTTCCACGGTAAAAAGGTCTCTATCCTGGAGATCGAGATAACGTCCTTCGCCTGGATCTCAGGAGCCGATACGTTTTCGGGAACCGGATCGGTGATGGGTATTAGCTTCCAAGGTAGATAGGTTTCTACCTTGGAGGACGAGTTCGTATCTCGTGATGTAGCCACAGGAACAGGAGCTGGTGTAGGGCTCGGTTGGTCTGGAGTCGATCTCGGAATGGATGGTGATCTGTTTTCCACCGATTGTAGTGTTGCTGGGTCAGTATGACCCCACTTAGCAATCGGGGTAAACCTCCACTTAGTCCTGGATTTGTTCAGTAGGAGACGTTTCCCAGGTGGTAGAGTTTCTACCTTTGTGATCACGATGCGATCCTTCGTCTTGGATATTGGAACAGGAGTCGGGTCCACAAAAGCAGGAGTCGGAGTCACAAGAGCCGGAGTACTCGGAGCCGAGGCCGTAGTAGGAGGCAACGTCTTGGACTCAAGAGCCGGAGTCAGGTTCACAGGCAACGCCTTGGACTTAGGAGCCGGATATGTAGTCGCCCAATGGGCTGGGTCGCAATGACCCCGGAAACCTTTCCGCGGCAGGATGCTGGTTGTCTCTCAACTGTATTAACGCCCTGCCAAGCAGGTGTTTTACGAAGGCCCACTGTCGAGCAACACTTCGTAACAAAAGAGACTTATGTCAGGGGCCCCCGATAGGTAGCACGCCCTGACTGGCGTTCTCGAAGATCGCTAGAGAGATCCCGCTGAGCTGCCCTTTATATAAGGATCGATGTCGAACTTTACTTACGAGAGAGATACGCCGCGCAGCGGTGCGCGCCGAACTATTCCGCCGGTCGATACTCATGCCGCGCGCCGATCGATATTACGCTACTATCCGTGCTGCGCGCCGCGCGCCTCCCGTCATACTATTCATGTAGCGTATGTACGGTCGCGCGCACGTGGCGGCAGGCGGACAGCTGACCGCCACACTAAGTAATTTCTCTAATATTTTATTATTACACGGTGTGTTAAAGTATGTGATACAACATATATCTTACCTAGTAAATGAAAATTATTGTTCGGATATCGTCTGTATAGATGGATAATTGCATTCTTTACATTGGAATTATTCCAAATGTACGAATCATGACTGCTGCCAGGATAACGTGCGTTTACATTCATTATTCTTAAACACCAATCACAGATCTGTAATAAAATGCAATACATAATTATTATATACATTTGTAATAAATGTAAATAATTCATGTTAAATTAATTATTACCAACTGTGTATTAATCGAGTGATAGCCTTTTCTGTTGACGTATATATATGCTCGGGATTATTATGTCCTGTTGGAGGAAAGATTGCGATGTGAGTGCAATCGATACATCCAATAGTGCCTGGTACTTCATATTTTGTATAAAATCTGAAACAGAAAATAATAATATAATTGTAAAAAGATTAACATTATATAATTATATATTTTATATCATATAGAAAATTTGTATGTATTCTTACTGTATTCGTAATTCATTCAATTCTGCTAAGGTAGAAGGAAATTTTATCCATTGGTCTATAATCTCTTGCTTTGTCATTACATTTATTACTTCATTCATGCAACGAGATACTGTTGGTTGACTCACTGCCATATAAATATTTTTACCGATATCGCAATGCTGTCATAACCTGTAGATTTTTGTATTTATGTGCATTATGCACAAATATTATCTTAATTTTAGAATCTTAATTTTAGAATAATTACCTTTGTTGTAGAATCAATTGCAGAAATTCTTGTTTGAGGAGTTAGATATGGTTCAACGAGATCTATTAACATATCTTGCTGCAGGTTTACTCAATCGAAAAATTTAAGGTGGTCCTTTCGTGAGAACATGTATTAGATAGGTACCTAAATTTGATATATTGTTAAATATACAGTAATAAGGGGCATGTGTACGAAAAATCAAGTAAGGTTACCGACACTTTACAAGAAATAAATCGCATATTGCTTTACTCGTACTGTCATGCCTGACCTAACCTAAATCGAGTCCAACCGCACTACTATTGTGATATTTTTTTAATTAGTAAATAATTAAATACGATTAAATCGTGCGTGTAAAATCATATTATATTATTATAATTATTGGGATGTTGTGTAATGTTTGTCAATATGTTTGTTTTCAATTACCTCATGACGGACTGTTATTTGACTAGCTGGGTCCGCGAAAGGACCACCTTAAATAAACTTTTTATTTGATAACTCATCAAAGGGATCATCTCTGTTGTGGAAAATTCTCTCCCGTTCTTCTGCTATATCAGCATTTTATAATATATGTAAAACTGGTGCATGTACTAAGATGTCTTCCACATCCATTTTTCAATACATAACTTTCTGTTTTCTTCACAGTATAACTTATACTTATACGTTTCTCTTGAAACGTATAGTGGGACCCATTCGTTGCATTGCGAATAGTAAATTGCGTATACGTTACCACTTGCGACTGTCAAGAATACTGTTCTAGGGATTTTCCATTGCGATCATTCGCAACTCATCA